TTTTTTTGTTAATGTTTCTGAACTTGTGTCTGCAGTAGTATTACATAAATCTTTGTAATTTACAACGCGCTGACTTTCAAACTACGGGCGCTACTTTGAAAAAATATTTACGGGACCACGGGACCGGAACAAAAAATGAGTTCTTTTCACGGGATCGGGACCGGGACCAAGACTTTTTTTCTTCATGGGACCGGGACCAAAAACGTTTGGTCCCGCAGACCTCTAGATATAAGCATAGCCGCAAATGCCCTGAAAAACAGACCTTGTGTACAATATGTGTTTTTCTCACTATGCGTTTTTTCAAGTCCCTTCAATTGGCACACATCACGACCCCTCGAAAAAACGGTCCGATCGAGCTCAAAATTTTACCGCTGATACTTCAGACCCTATCTCAGGTTCGTGTTTTCAAAAAGCGTTTTCGACTTCAACTTTCGGCGTGAGAAGGTTTTCAAAAGGGAAAACCGGTTTTTTTATATGGGATTTTCAGTATTTTTCGGATATCTCGAGAAGGAAAGCATATTTTCTAAAAAGAAAAAAACGAACCTGAGATAAGGATCTGAAGTATCTGTGGTAAAGTTTTGAGCTCGATCGAACTATTTTTACAAGGGGTCGTAATGTGTGCCGATGAAAACTAGAGTTTTCCAGAAAACCGATAGAAGAACACGTCAGAAAATTCTGGACAAAAATACATTGATTTTCTTTTTCGATGTTCTATCTCTGATATAAATTAGAACCCGATCCGACATCGGCTTCCCTAGTTTCCAAGAGAGTAAAAAGAGAGGGAACAGGGTACCCTTAATAAACGAGCGCGTATCTGCCAAATGGATCAACTATTTTTAAATCAAAGATGAAGCCAATATTTTTATATCGTTGGGCTCGCGCACATCGGCGTGAAAAAGGTTATGTATCGGTTTTGGAAATATTACTTCGTTGTTGAGAAAAAAAATTTTTTGAAACAGGTAGCAAAAAATAAGGAACAGATGGGGAACTCCAGCTACGTTTTACTCCAACTCCACTTAAAGAAGATCAACTTCAACTCTAACTCCAACTCCACGGATCCCAACTCTAACTCCGCTTCAACTCCTATAGGGACTTATTTTGTCTTGATTCATTTTCTTCTTTATTTTATTAGTAGTTGTTTATTTCGCTTTTGCTTACGAGAGTACACACAAAAACAAGTCATTTTAACAATTCAACAAAAAAAGGAAAAAATTGTTAAACTTGTAAAAATTTTTAATTGAAGTTGTGGAGTTAAAGTTGAAAAAATCTAAACTCAACTCAACTCTAATCTAATAAAAGTGCAACTCCAACTCAACTCCAACGCCACTAAAAGGAAGCTCAACTTCGGAGTTGGAGTTGCCCATCTCTGATAAGGAATGCACTAATATTTTTCAGCTTTTGCTGTCAAACTTCCATTTTCTTTTTGCAAAACCAATGTCATATTTGGAATCAGCATCAAAAACTGAATTGACTGACGTGTGTTTCAGACTTTTCGGACAACTTTGATTTTTTTTGAAAATTTTTCGACCGACATTTTTGCTGAAAATTAAAGTTGTCGAAAAATCTGAAACACATGTCAGTCAATTCAGTTTTTGATGCTGATTCCAAATGTGACATCGGTTTTGCAAAAAGAAAATGGAAGTTTGACGGCAAAAGCTGAAAAATATTAGTGCATTTCCTAATTTTTTGCTACCTGTTTCAAAAAAATTATTTTTCTCAACAACGAAGTAATATTTCCAAGACCGATACATAATTACATAATAACATTTTCTCGTGCCGATGTGCTCGAGTCCAACGATATAAAAATATTGACATCATCTTTCATTTAAAAATAGTTGATCCATTTGGCAGGTAGCGGAATTTTTCAGGAATTTTTGTAGTCGGTCGAAAACTAAAATTTTCCAGGGTCATGTAATATTTGAATGACGCAAAACTACATTTTTAGATTCAGTTTTCATGTAGACTAAGAATAACATACTTTCAAAACTCTCAAAGTCACTGGGTTAAAGATATGCGCTCGTTTATTAGCATTAGGCCATTTTTCAACAAGGTATAAAAATTCCAGTTATTTTAAATTTTCATCCTGAAAAACATTTTTCGGAACGTTAAAACCCACATACTCTGATTCAGTTCGACGAGCTGTATCCAACTATGTATAAATATCGCAAAAATAAATTTTGCTGAAATTCTGACTGTTCAGCGCCTTACTATCCGTTAAAAAGAAAAAACGAAAAAAGTATAACTTCAAAAGCGAGAGAGGTCAACGAATAGATTCAGCATGTTCTTGGAGTCATATTTATACAGATATCTATTCTTTGAATATTTTAAATAGCGGCTTATGCATTCTAGTGGTTGGAATAAAAAGACAATAATGATTTTATTTTGATGCACTTTGTCGAATAAACGTTATTAAACTTTGGTCATGTATGGGATACCGTTAGTCGGACAAGCCGAAATACAATCCATTCACAATAGTAGAAGTGCTCGCCAAGAGTTAATAACTTAGTTATAATAATTTCCCGGAATGTCTAAACACTAATTCTAGAACTGATGCATAACTAACACAAAGCTTAAAAACATGACGACGTAGAGGGGATAGAAACCACCTAAAACAAGGGTGATCAAACCCATTATATTTTGCATTTTGATACCATCTTCTCTTTGCAATATTTTCAGGACAGGTTAGACGAGAGATACATGCCCAGAAGTTTACACACCGACAGATTTTCTATGATTTATAAAATACGCTAATATCCACTAATAGTCTCGAATTAAAATCTAATATAGCCAATAGATAGAATTCCTCGAGTTGATTATACTAACATCGAATAATATTAAGATAAATATTATACGAATATTATTTTTGGGTATAAGTATTGAAAATGACTCAATCAATGGCGTCTAATCTCTCATCAGACCCAGTCACTTTCAAATAATTTATAATGGTCATACATCAATTATCGCGTACAGAACGTCAATCTTTCAAAACACATCCATTTGTTAGAAATAATGTGTTTATCATGTATTGAGGTTATGAACGTTTTTGAACAAACATTCGATTTTATTAATAACTTTATTATTTCAATTCACTAAACGGTGTAAGTAATCTTTTTCTTCCCAAAATCTCGTTTTTTAAAAAGTTTTTAAATATTTACAAATTATTAGTTATCACATAAAATGCGATGATACAGACACTTATTTTATTTAGCACAACTGAGCACAATCAAATCTTCGAATTTTGCATTTCTTTGCAATATTAAATATTTTCTCTCTTGGTGTAAATAACAGTTTATGAGTGTACGTCCTATACCTCGTATGAAAATAACGATTTGACCAGAATTATTGTATAACAAAAGATATTTAGCATTAGTAGATTACACATTCGTCATTACTCATCAACAAATCCACAGTCAACACGTGGTGTCGCTTTTTCACGAAAATCGAGTTGTTCATCTCGAATTGATATAGAACCGCCACCAGGTCGATGATTAATATTTATCATTGAACCAATTTTTGATCCAGCATTCCAAATTAATTTTTCGTTTCTCACCGATATCTGTGGTAAGGGTGGTGACCAATTAGCATTTTCTAATGAGCCAATTTTGGAATTCGCTATCCATTTCGTTCTATCTTCAGTAATTGCAACATTTCCACCACCCGGTTTATGATTGATATTTACCAGACTACCAACTTTTGATCCAACCTTATAATATTTGGTATCATCTGATTTCACTTGTACTTCATTTCGTTTAGGACTCCACCACAGTTTTCTATTCTAAAAAATACAAAAAAATATCATCAAGAAAGATTAACAAGTGATAATCGTTTTAGTTTCTCTTTTATACTAATTATTGAACAAAAACTTAAATATTATGAAGTTAGAAGCACTTACGGTTCTATTACTATCACTTGAGTCAGCTCTGGTTGAGTTTGAACCATGTACTGATGATGATGTATCTTGATTGTGGTGTTTAATGTTATGACCATTAATCATGTCTCTTTTTCTTGTTCCAGCATGTTTTAGAATTATTTTTCGTTGTGGTTGTTCGGATTGTTTGTTATACGTTTTTATTATAATTCCATTTTGTTGCTGTTGTTTACTTATACTATTCTTATGATCGGATGTTTCATGATTATTATAATTATTTGATACTACTATTACCCTTACAGCTTGTCCTTTTGAATTTTTTGTTATTGTCGATGTTCGCTGCTGTTTTGGTTGTTGGTGAATGGAAGGTAATAAGGTATTCATTAAATGATATGATTTACTAGATGCGAATAGTTGTAGAAAATAGAGATTGATGGAATTTGATTAAATAGATTCTTTTAGCATGTACCAAGCAGTGCTATAATACTATTATAATAATGTCGTTAGAATTTTAAAAAATATATGCAAATAAAAGTTGTTGTTTTCAAAAAATAACAGCAACGACTTTTTTTCTTTTTTTTTTTGTTCGCCTATGTAATCAACTGTAAAATGGTTATAATGAAAAAAAAATTTTCTTCTCTTCGTTTATTAGACAATGACACTTGCATGCCAGGACAACCATGAGAGATCGATCAACTACTGTCTCTCTATCTGTTACACTTCGTAATATAAAAAGGCAGTTTTCTTTTTAACAACGCATACAAACACATTTCAATTGTTTCACTGTTTACTTGAATAAATATAAAAATGATTGATCTTTATTTTAAAAAGAGGCACTTGAATTTTCTTTTTTGAAATTATGAGCGAATATAAAAAAAATCGTTGTTTATAAATGAAATTTATTTTGTTTACAGAGCTATTCATAGTTAAAGTATGTTTAGACGCTATAATTGGTTTCGTTTAGTACGAAATGCACAATTCATCGCATCTCACATCGGTATTTTATATATTCGATCGATTGTTGATAGTCATCTCTCAGGATTACTTTTAAGATATTTGCCTGTAGAATATATCAGTTCATCTCATCTTTAGGATCAAATAGAGAGATATTCATATATTCAGCAAAAAACTAAGTTTCTTATTAAGAAATCTGAAAAGTGCACATTTCTTAATAACTTAATATACGAAAAAGAAAACTTATTGTCAAGAGTATGATCACCCTTATGTGACATACATTCATTTAAGTGTGAAATTATGTTAAGAAATTTTGTTCCATTTCACACAAAGGATAACTGGAAAAGTTTTATACCTATTGTGATAAAGTACTGTTAAATAACATCATACTTTTCCATTGTGTAGGCTTTCGCGAAATCACATGTTTCTCTTCCATCGTAGCTACTAAACGACTTGGCACACACATTACGCGGATCGAAACAGATAATAATGGAACTATGATGATGAAAATCCAAAAATGTTTCCAGATTTAATACTTACCTGTTTAATCCTCGATATTATCAACATTGTTGGTAGAAAACAGTTTTTAGATTCAAATTGATCCTTTAGCTAAATCAGATTTGAGCTCTCTGTGAAACATATAGGTTTTTTTTCAAAAAAAGTCGTTATTGAGCTAAGCACATGGTTAAATAGCCTGAGATGTCTACTCTTAGAATCCATACTATTCTTGCAACTATGAAACGTTTCTGAGAGTTTCTGAAGAAGTTTTCTAAAAAACATAAAAACTGCTTTTTCTGAGATTCTAATATTCCAGTAAAATGCCGAAATCAAAAAGGATTTCAGTGATGATGCTAAACTGTAAAGTAACATTTCTGATTGAAATTTAATATCTCCGTATTTTGAGCGATGCTTTGATCAAGAGTTATAATCGTTTTACAAAGAGAAATTCTCACTTAGTTTAGACATTACAGAGCTCGAAATAGCTTTAAAAATGTTGTCGCTTTGACGTTACAGAGCTGGATTTTTGAATTTTGTTCGTAATGTAAGGAAAATTAAGAATCTCTGGAAGAGGTTTTTAGGGATTCCAACGAGAAATGTTTTACGTTCATCAGCAATACCATTTTTCAAAAATCCATCTCTGTATTACCAATGCGATAGAATTTCCCTAAGGAGAAAAAGAGAGCTATTCCGAGCTGTACAGCACCTAAACTGAGTGGGAATCTTGGAAAACCGTAACTGTTCCGTTTTGGGAACTGTTATGCACGTGACAACGTGAAGGGGAATAGGTAGAGCCAAAAAAATTTCATCATTATACTTTGATATGGTCAACATTCCCTGAAAGTTTGATTTAGATCAGACTCGTAGTCACTGATACAATATTCTGACAGGGAGACGCTCAAGAATTTTGTCTTTTAAAATGTTAATACCCAACATTTTAAAATCAAAATCGCTTTATAGCATTCACATTAAGATGATAATTCAAATTGGTGTTGCAAAATAAAATCGCGTGTCAAATCTCCTGTTCAAACGAAACAGATAAATCTCGATGTAAATGATATTGTGAAAATTAAAATGGAGTTGTGTTTACATGTATTGTATGTTCTAAAGTATTGAGACAATGCTTAGTTGTAACTTCATTAATGATTCTTTTTACTTTTATCTTTCTTTCATGCGGCTCAAAGAATTGAACTTGAATTTGAACTTGAATCACATGCTCAAATTTAACTTCGAGCTAAAAATAAGAGAGAAAGAACTAAATAGCTCGTCTAATCCGTTGAGTTCGGCGAGCTGTTTCAACTGTCGAGTCGACGTGGCGCTTTTTGTTCGTTCGGCACAAAAAATTCTTGAATTTAAATCACTGTTTTTCTTGTTTGTTTTTCTTTATAACTTAGAATAGAAAGCGAAAAACTGATTAAATGGGTATCGTAAAAATTATGTTGTATGTTTATATCACAGACATGTGTGTATACATTTTGGATGCTGAAATATTGTTTTGAATAAAAGTTAGAAAAAAAAAATTTATCTGGTTCGAGTCAAGTTTTTTCATATTTAGCTTTGCAAAAAGTCAACATATCTTAAATGGTAGTACAAATAGACGTATTTTGAGTCGAGTGACTGTGCTCTTTCATCATTAAACAGATTTATTTTAGCTACGTGCACGATCAATTATAGTATTCAGAAGAAATAATTTAAGAGATCTATCACCAAAAAACGTAATTCTTCAATAAAACCTGACGGTCTTCGCTGCATTTTTGCTGGTTTATTTGTGTCTATCAACGGGCCGATCCGATTTCGATTTTTCTCACCAGTTACAACTCTGCAGAGTAGAACATTCATCGATAATTAAGCAAACGTGTGTAACTGAATGGATTTCAAGATAAAGTTTTTGAAACAGATGCCACAATTAGCGAATAAGCCGTTCAGTTTACAGTCTGTATATGACTGCGGTGCCAACTATTAGCTTTGGCTTAATTATCCCTTCAAAGAAAAATGTTTTCTCTTCTAAACGAGACGTCTCCGAGCTCTGTAAGAGCTTTCCTTGCAGAGACAAAACGTGACTGACTTATGGAAAAGTGGACTGTGGACAGACCGATGTGTATTTACGCGTAGATTTTTCTACATTCTTCCTTAAATGTAACACTAGTAAATGAATAACAAAAAAAGAAACAAAAGAAACCAAAGTAAAATACAACGAGAAGAGAGTATAAACAATGTAGATGTAGATGAAGAGAAATTTTCAGGTATTATTTGAGCTGATTTTTGACATTGACAGCTTTGTTTAATGAATGACGGCTGCTGGCAGGTTGTTGCATTCGTCGATAGTTCGAGAAAAAATGCTCCTGATGATATTTTTAGTTGATAGCATTGTGTAGCTGTACATTATTCGCGTGCTTATCGAGTCAATAGTGATTGGATAAGACTCATAATTAAGATTTACTGTGGTAAAGTTAAAACGCGTGAGGGAGACAAAAATATCTTTTTCTTAATTGAAGTGGGATCGATGCCAGTTTACATTGAAGAGTATCACTATTACTATGATAATCTTCAACAGCATCCTCGAGACTAGTTTTAAACACTGTGTCATTTCGAGAGATATATTAAGAGACAATTTCGGAGCGCGTCGAGAGAATCCATAAAATCTTCAAAAATTAAATTTTTTCTTAAATACGGTTGTCGGATTCTCCTTCCAAAGTTACTTATAAATCCGACTTTCTAGTCTTTGAAAACTTTTCATCGTTGAGAGAAAAAAGTTTTAAAAAAAGTACCAACAAATTTTCTTCAAAAATTGAAGAATTCTGTAATTCTTGTTCTTTTAATTGTAGTGACATTATCATACATTTAATTTTCTTAATCTACACATCATTTGCATGAGTACAAAAAACTCAACAAAACCTGATATTGTTCAGGTCTTAAATAAATTTTTCACTGCTGAAAAAAATTAAACAAAGTACCATTACGACAAAGGAACGAAGCTAATTTTTCCAGTAAAACGCTTAGATTGATGTCAAAGGTTAGTATCCCATAGAGACTTTTATCACATCTTGTAGAAAATTGTATTCTCTACAAGATGCAGTATAGTACATTGGAATACAAGTGGAGGAATAGATGGAAAAACGCTCAACAACGAGTACGACTGGTATTAATAACTTTATAAAAACTGTTTTAAACACGATTTTCATTTGTATAAAGTCATGTTTCATCATCAATAGGCCAAAGCATGTTCAGAAAGCCGTTTATAAATAGGTAGGATATTACTATCGGGCGTAGAAAATAAGTGGTAAGTAAATGCACTACTGTCTGTCCAAAAAAAAAGAATGGACTCTACTATTTTTTCAATAACTTTTGATAGAAAGCAGTTAAAGTGCTCGGATTTTTCGGCATTAGAAAGAGGAAACTTGGAGGCGTGATTCCAGACAGTGAATTCAGGCAGACGTTTTTTTGTTTTTAGAACAAGATTTAAAAAACTAGTGAAAATCAAGTTTTACGAAATGTAGGATTTCCAGACTCTTTTCACATAATATTAAAAAATTCACCATTAACTCGGAAAACCTCAGAACGAGTTGGAAACATCAGAATTTACAGTACTTAGACTATATTATATTTTATTTATAAGAAATTCACAAAAAATTATTTACGTAATTTACAATTACAATTTAAACCAGCTAGAGAGCTCGGATTTCGGGGAAAACATCAAGACACTCTTAGTTTTGTCTACTGAATACGATTTTATTATGCTAAAAATTGAGAAACCATGTTTTGGTTTAAGGGTTTTCTAAAAACTTTTGCAGAAAACCATAGGATTTTGTAAATTCTTTTTTGTGAATTTCTTATAAATAAAATATAATATAGTCTAAGTACTGTAAATTCTGATGTTTCCAACTCATTCTGAGGTTTTCTGAGTTAATGGTGAATATTTTTTATATTATATGAAAAGAGTCTGGAAATCCTAATTTTCATAAAACTTGATTTTCACTAGTTTTTTAAATCTTGTTCTAAAAACAAAAAACGTTTGGATTTAGTTCTAAGACCAACACAAGGAAAGGAGGTAGAGCGCAAAATCAGGATCTGTAGAATCTGAAGAAAGTGCTTTACAATGTTTCCAAATACACCATTAAAAAGAGCATATTAGAAAACCAATAAAACCTCAACCTTCAGAGTGTTCCACAATTCATTACCTTTACTACGTCTTTATCTTTATAGAAACATGTATTCGTAGAGTCTTTGAATATACATGCATTCCCTCCGATTCATCCTACTTAAGAGAGAAAATCGAGAACGCTCTAAAAAGACGATAAAACCTTCAAAAATTAATTTTTTTTAAATACGATTTTCGGGTTCTCCTACTAAAATTACCTATAAATTTGAATTTCTAGCCTTTGAAAACTCTTCACTGTAGAGAGAAAAAAGTTTTAAAAAAGTACCAACAAATTTTCTTCAAAAATTGAAGAATTCTGTAATCTTGTTCTTTTAATTGTCGGGTCGGGGTCAGATTTGATAAGTTCAACCCGCGCAGTACTTTACCACTAGTGGTGACCGCTCAACTACGACATAGATCAATATGCCTTCCACGCCTGTTGAATCACACGTAATCCACAAATAACCGGAACTGTCAGACTAGAGGGAGGCGACGCAAGCTTTCAGATCTGGCTTAATCTTACAGCTCCAGTGGTTCTAGACAACTGACTACCATCCCGTAATTCATGGAACTGTACAGGGTACGGACGAATTTCGTGATGTCTTTCTCATCCTGCGCTATCTCCGCAAACCATCTCGCGCGGAATGGAAGTCCTAGTATTATTAAAAAGATTGTAAAAGAATGAAAGTGTAGCCGCGGCAGAGTCAGTTAGAGGCTGTTCAAAAAATCAGATGGAGGGGATTAATCATTAGAAATCCTATAGATTAACCATCACCGGTACCCTCACTAACAAACTGTCATAATAACCGTAAAGAACCAACGCCTTTTCTATTCCTTGCTTCATTCTTTCCATACTTTCTACATGGACAATGTTTTGTATTAGATGGTGGTAAAGATAGTTGAATATTGCTATCTATTAAAATTGAAACTAATTCTTGACATTTGGATGGCGTTGTAGATGGCGAAGTCATTGGGTTATCAACAACCCATGAAGGTGTATCAAGAAAAATATTCGAATCAAGAAGATTCTCAACAACTGATTTTATAACAGGTGCTTCAGGTGAAATAGATTGAATTAATGGACTGAAATTCAGTTTATATACTGGACTAGTTGGCATACGAGATGTGATAGAAGAAATAGGTGGAGGCAGCGTTGGTGAATCAAACCAAATTAAGTTATCGATCAGCATGTCGTCTAACAGAAGATTGTCGACTGCTGGTATATCAATAAAATCATTTGGACGAATAAACGACAAATCAAGAAGACAATTTTCATCTGAAACATTCAACAGTTTATGAACAACAGCGATAGGCACAACCGAACTTGACTGATTTATAGCTACATCAACAATAACATCTTCGCCGTCTGTGTCTTCTTCAATCGGTGTTGGTAGTTGATCTTCATGTTGGATATTCTGCTCACTCACAAGTTTCCAAAATTCTGAATCGGATCGTGGACGTTGCCCGAACAAAACTTCATAAGACGTACATTTCGTTGTCTGTGATACACGAGTATTAATACCATAAGTAACTGATAATAACTCTTCTGACCAATTAGTTGAGTTATTCACCGATAACCATTTACCTAATGCAGACGTCAAAAATCCACTCGCGCGCTCAACACAACCCTGAGATTGAGGATGACGCGGACGACCTCGCACAAGCGTCATTTCTGGAAACAACTGCTTTAATTCAACGATAACCGTAGCAACAAATTCAGTGCCGTTGTCCGAATGCAGTAAACGTGGAGGACCGAAAACAAAAAACAACTCTTTTAAACGACGAGCAATTTCATCAGCGGATTTACTTCTCAACGGATACGCCCAACTAAATTTCGAAAAGTGGTCGACACAATTCAATATCCACAAATACGTAACATCAGCCGACACAACATCCGGACGTGTTCTCATGTCAATGAGATCGATTTGTAACTTGTCATAATATCTAGGGATATATATAATTGGTCTTGATACAACTGACTGCTTGACTGTTTTTCGTAATTAACAAGTAGAACAATGTTTGAGAAAAATTTTCACAATATGTGTTGGAATCCAAGAATAATTCGCTGTAATTTCGGCTATGGTTTTATCTCTTCCTCCATGTGCAACTGTAGTATGACATTCCCCGATAATATTAAAAAAGCTTTCATATACACAAACTGGTTTATTTGTAGTTATACAACATAAAACATCAATATCCGCTATTTTTTCTCACAACAAAATTCTGCTTTGACCACTAAACAAATTTCGAAAAAAAACTGTTTGATGACTTTCCCTTTTCAAGTCTTAATGCTTTCATAATACTTTCTAGCGTGCTATTTGTTATTACTTTTTTTTCTCGAAATTTTTTGTTTAATGAGTTAATATAAGCCTCGACGTCTTCGAAAAATAATTTTTCACTGTCATCTACAGATTCAACAGTAATCGCTGAGGCCGAAGCCATTTCAAGAAATGATAAAATGTTTAACCAAAATGAATGTAACGATTTTTAAAGTTAGAGATGATGTGATTTATGCTGTGATTTCTGTCTTATATATCATCCCAAAAAAGCTATCGGTTTAACGGTCAAAACGGGCAGAAAGAAAGCTTTTTGAACGCAGTTCACATAAGATCAAAAGCGGTGAGATGAAAGTGAGAGGGTCGACAAAGAAAATCGACATATTTTATGCGTTTTTTATGGGGTATTCTCGTTTCGTCGACAAAGCGGCCACTTCAAAGAATATAGATCAGAGAACATCAGAGGCGGGAGGGCGGTGTGAGAGTGAGTTGTCCACGAAACAAGAATACTTCGTTTTTTATAATTGTCAGCTCCTCTACTTTCAGTGTCTTTAGTTCGCCAGGTCGTATGTCGAAAACACGCGAATAACGTAGATTTTGTTGACGATATATTATTAATTAGAAACTTTTTAGCACAGATGCTTTGTTTTAATTATTTCTTATTATACAAATTGAATCTCAAAAACAAATATGTGCTTGATATAAGATTCAAATAAATCCTTCACATATCATCGGAAAAAAATAAAGTTGTTTTTGAGTTGCTGAAAAGTGGTTTTTCGTATTCAGCATAGTCGATAACCCTGAAGATTTACTATTTTTGGTCCGAGGTACTTCCAAAAGTTTAGAAAAAATTTTCGAACTAGTAATTATTTTCCCTTGGAAATTTTTTGGAATATTCTGGAATAGAAAATATTCTGGGTTATCGAGTGTGGAGAATACGAAAAAGCATTTTTTAGCAACTCAAAACTAACTTTAATTTTTTGATCCGGTGATATGAGTAATCTCAGGTATCTAAGATTGTCCAAAACTAAATACACTGATATTCATTTTTTACTATTATTATTAAAAAGTCTATGTTTTATTGAACAATTCTAATATGTCCTAGTATAATTCTAAATTGACCCAGGCTAACTTAAAATTCTAGATTAAACTAGGTCAATCTGGAATTGACCCAGTCTATATTAGAATCGAAAGATGCAGGCATCTCAATCCTAAGTTGTCCTAGGTCAACTTAGAATTCCAAGATGACCTAGGCCAATCTGGAATTGGTCTGAATTCTAAGTTGGCCTATATATATATATATATAACGAGGAAACTATAAAAAACTTTTTATGTGAAATTCAGAAAAGAGATTTTGGTTTTTAAAATTTTTATCTTTTGAAACAAAAGTATTAACTCATTGTTAACGGATGAAGTTTGGCGGAGAACTTCGAGTTTGACTTCTCCGATTCATTTTTAGTGTAAAAAGTATGCGCTCCGGAACTCTGAAAATTTTTATTTTTGTTCAATTTTTGATACTCTCGGTCGATTTCGTATGTAAAAGTGTCTATGTTCTATGCGTTTCAGATTTTCTGGACACTTTCTTCTGACTCAGAAGACTCAAATTGTCAAAATTTGAGCGCCTTTTCTCCGCAGCGCAGCGTCTCGATATTTTCAATTTTAAAGATGAAAATTTAGTGTCACCAAAGTATTATCTCATAGAAAAAAACATGATAAACAACATCTACATTCACATTGCCGCTTCAAAATGCTTTCCCGCAGAGAAACTGCAGGCAAGATCTAGAAAAAGCAAACTTTTGGCCTTCAAAACCCATTCTCAAGGTCAAATCCGAATTTCTCTGCCAAATCTTGTCCGGGAACGATGACAATCTTTTCACACATATATCTCGAGGCGTTCTATTGGTTGGTTACAAAACCGAGGTTTCAAACTGAAAAGTAAAAATTTTATTTACATTTTAAAAAATGGGCAAGGCCGAAAAAAATTAAAAAGTTTTTTTCTAGAAAACTACAAGTCCGTAAACCTCCACACTCTTTTCACGTATATTTTGATGCGTCTTCTACAATCTGGGAAAGTTTGAATCAAATCTAAATGGGAGAACCTCCCCCTTAATACATTGAGTCTAAATATCACTTTGATTTTTAATAGAAATGTTCTTGGACAGAAAAACGTGGATTTTACCGGAAGAACCATGGAATTTCGGAAAACCTATAGTGAGGTTCAGGAACATTTATGCTATCTGTATTAGTGCAGAATAGATTGACGACCATATTTCCACAGTTTGAACTAGTTGGAAGCTCAAGAAAATTTTGGAACCTCATTACGCTGATCACAAGTGTCCGGAAAACCATTGAAAACTAACTTCATTTCTCCGAGAGTATAGATCCAAACTGGGAAATTTCTTCTCAGATAGATAGTCAAAGACATGTAGATTCAGAAACTGTGTCATTTTTACTTTTAAGGTTCTTCAATTCAACACTAATAGTTTTTTTCTGCACATTTCTCAATCTTTAAGATCGTTTTCGACGAACAAGTTTTTCCACAAGCCTTAACAGTTGAAATAAAAAGTTTTATATCATTAAATAGAGCATATTTCAAAGTATTGCACCTCTATTTAAATCTAGAAAAAGTTTACTTTCATTTTTTCGTCTAATATCCCATCGTTGCCTTTTGTGTTACGCTGGTGTACTGAAACATGATCGTCTGTTCAATATGCGCCAGAATCAAAACGTGTGTATATTGCAAAGATATGTTCACACAGTCAAATAACATAATGTAACACTTATATTAATGTTCTTCGACATTACTTCGATTACCAATAGATATTAAACACAATATACCAGCTTAGTTTCATACGTTCCGAACTGTAATATCGAATGTGACAAATGAAAAACGTTTGGTATTAATCAAAAAATATATTTATAAATATATAAAAAAACAATTAAAAATAATTATTTTATCTCACTGATTCCTTTTTTCTGAAGATATACGCAATTATTAATAGACTGTAAGTTAACGTTGTACTAAAACGTTTAACTGTTGAAGAACTTTTTGCATTACCTAAAGAAAATCTAATAGGTAATCCAATCGGAGGTAAATCTGCATACTGATTTAATATTGCATTTGAAATTATTATTGGTAAATTCAGTGGTAAAGTATCGATTATTGTTATTGATTGACGATATACTTCGTATCCACGAAAGAAGACCTTAATGTTAACAATATACAATATATATGCAACAGTTGAGAGCCACTTATCAAAATTTTTACCTTTAACACATAGTTACCCGGCAAAAGAATTCTCCAAAATTCTCCTAAAGCTGTTACACCGATAAGTGGTCGTCTATCATCAATCATTATCTGTGTAAATGGTATAGGATGATTATTTTGATCAAAGATAAATCCTCTGACTCCTAGTGAATTATAACTATATAATTAAAATAAAATAATAGTTAAAATTAAAAATCTACCAACCTCTTTGTGCCTGTAATAAGAGTTCGATCATTGCATCTCGATTGTAAATGTAATAATCATCTAATAAGTTCAATGTGCTTAGAGGATATTTACAACAACTTATTTCCATCGTCATTTCAATTGTACCGTAATTTAAATATCCATAATCTTGCATAGAACCTGTTTCAGGAAGAAAAAAAATATACCATCCGGCTATATCCCAATATTCCGAATAAAGTTTTAATACAAACCTGTAATTTCATACCAATCTGCCCCACGTGTAACAAGACTCGGGGATGGGATACCATTGTTTTTATCACATATTCCGTTTATATCTGTTATTTTATTCACATAGTCGCGCGCAATTGACATATAGATATCATCATCGTCTGTCACGGCAGAACCACCATTATCTATAAAAGCATGCCAAAATCTTTATAAGATAATGAAAATTTTTATCTCTAAGTACAATATCGATCATATGGAGTATTAATAACAAATGCACCACCATGATAATTTGCCGATAAAATAAACGGTATGTCACGTAACCAACTAATAATGGCGCTCGTTTCAGTTGCCATTATATCTGATTCTAACGGTTGTGACAAGTAATCAGGAAAATTACGATTTAGATCAATACCATTGATTGTATAGCTGAAATTTATATAATATTCTAATAGAACAAACGTAGAATTTAAAATGAAACTTACCGTCCCACAGCCGAATCACAATCACCATTATGAGACATCTCAAATCCGTCTGGATTCATCGATGGCATAATATGAATTCGAGATAAAGTCATTACTTTTTGTACTTGAACGTCATTTGATGTTAACAAATATTCAATGAGATGAAGAAGTACTTCACGACCCACAACCTATTCCAACTGTTAATTAAATGAGTTATATTGGACTCGCTATAAAATTGTCTTACTTCATTTCCATGCATATTTCCAATGTATTTCACTTCTGGTCGTAATAAGAGGTGTTCATTTGGAGAAGAAGCACTCAGAGCCATAGCCCATAATGAACGACCTAAATAAAAGAAATAGTTATGACTAGAAAACATGTTTTTACTTCTCTAAAGTAAGTACCTCCTTCAGATTCGCCCACTTTGTATAGATAGGCTGATGTTGGATATTGTGCTGCGATTGTTTGTAAAAAAATTGTCATTTGACTGTAATTATGATAATTGAAGTCAAGTGCTGTTTGAACAATGGCTGCAGCACCAAGTATTGTAAATGTTAGCCAGGTGGTATGCATCTATATAACAAAACTGATATATTTACACTCCTTAAGTATATATTGATTTGGATACGTAATGATTCCCTTTTATTGCTCTTTTTCTTACAATAATTGTGGACAAAGTAAAGTTTTATTTAACCTCCAAAAGGGGATAATCGAGTAAATTAAACATTTCTCTACAAAATGAGATGTGTTTTGACTATGGAGATTGATTCGTTGTGAGAATACAACTATCTTACAAATAGTACATCAATTTTGAGACTATTTGTGAAACATTGTTAAAAGAGCGAGAATGAACAGGCAGAAATCCGAAAGTTATATCAGTTTATACGGAGAATTGTTTACTCTATAAAATGTAATAATTTTAAAAGTTTAAAAGTAAATTAATTAGTTATCATGAGTGAGATGACAAGATCATTTTGACCATTTATTTCCAGTCCATTAGGTTTTGTTTTTGTTCTTCAATTAATGCAGATGAATCAATCTTCATAGTCGAAACATCTCTCATTTTGTAGAGAAATGTTTAATTTACCCGATTATTCCCTTTTGGAGTGTTAAATAAGACTTTACTTTGGCCACAATTATTGTAAGAAAAAGAGCAGAAAAAGGAGATCGTTACGTATCCATGTCAATGTTTGTTCATCTATACTTGCCTGTAGTGTGTGCATTGCAAAATTTAGTGAAGGTTGATAGGCGGTATTTGCACTTCACCTAGAAGTATATTGTTCATTATGTATTAATTAATTTTATTTGGACAGTCTAGTCACGTGACATTTGCTCTCATTTTATCTTCGGCATTTTTTTCTTCGCTTAAACGACAAAAATGAACCAAAAAGTCTCCTCTTTTTACTCTTACTCAAATAAAATAAAAAATATGTACAAACAGATGATGTGTAAGGATAAGAAAAAAATAAATCATAAAAAAAGTTGCAACTTTCTTTCTTTCTGTCACACTCATATACTACAGCAATAGAGGCCCATATCAGCTAGATTTAAACGATGAATGAATGCAATAAAAGCAGAATTATATGAAATAAGCACAACAATAACTACGATCAATGATCTTAAAAACGATTAAGAAGCTTTTAATGACTTATTACCTACTGTGAAACAATTGGTGTTTTAAATCTCTACTCGAACACGTGAATATTCAAAAATCAAAGCACAAAAAGGAAGTACAGATGTTACGGAGAAAATTCTGAATCAACTCTTAAGAGACAGTCCGTAAGACTCCCGACTACGCCAGCCGGATAGCATAGAGAACCACTAAAAACATAATTTTTTCGATGAGATTGATGCTGGTCCAATATCTCAGAAATGACTTGACCGTTGGGATCCATTAACATCTCATTTGAAAGAGAACTATTGCTATACAAAACCACTGTGAGAAGGTAAAATCAAAGCAAGCACTCTGGGCGACTACAACGCAAAAATGAAAGTCAGTTTTTCTCAATCTACTTTTTTTCAGTATTTTGATCTCAGAAGCCGCTAGTATAGCTTGACCAAAAAACAAACTATATCATTTTGTATAGATGACAATTCTGATATTTTTCTACTCATTGATTCAGGTTTAACCAAGTTATGAATTTTTAATTCAAGCTATGATCAATGACATCCATACGGTTAGCTGAAAAATTGATCATACACTTTTATTTTTGAATTTTTACATGACCGCGATGTTTAAGAATAATTTTGAAAAATGGTTTGAGTAGGCAAAAGAGTTTCCATCCAGATTGATAAAAAAGTTTCATAACAATGTTTTGAAGGGCGGATTTCTGGAAAACCAAAATCTCAGTAAATCAAGTTTCTAGTTTTTGAAAAATTCATAATTCGGCTAAACCTGAATCAATCAGTAAAAAAACATTAGAATTATTAACTGTACAAAATGATATAGTTTGTTTTTTGGTCAAGTTATATTAGCGGCTTCTGAGTCCAAAATGCTGAAAAAAAGTAGGTTTGAGTAAAATCAGTTTTTTTCAGTTTTTGCATTGTAGTCGCTCAGAGTGCTTGCTTTGATTTTACCTTCTCACAGTGATTTTGTAGAGCAACATTTCTCTTTCAAATGAGATGTGAACGGATCTCATATGATCATACATGATACTGTGTACTCCTAAAGGATTATGTAGAAACTGAGCGGACAAGATTAGTCTCGAAAATAGTGTAGAAATACTATGGTAGGATTCTACGTAGGAATATCAAACCATTTTTGCTAGGTTTTTCATAGAATTCTAGAATCTCCTAGATTCTTTTGAGTTTGATCAGTATCATATTTTAATTGGAAGTTTGCTAGTCACCTAGAAAGGTGACTGGAGATGGAAAAGACGACAAATGATAACCATTAGATTTCATCCTTAAAGATGGACCGTGAATTATTCATTTGTCAAATCGAGGAATGCACAATTCTACAATTGATTTTTGCATCTGCGGAAATAATTGTATTTGTCAAGTTTGACAAATTGATGAATGTGTACGTATCAATCGTTCTTCATGTCGTCGGATTGTAACCATGGTTTTTTGCTACGAAATAAACTATTTGGAAAGTTTGTGACCACCTTATATTCAACATCCAAAAAACTTTTTAAAAAGATGGAGTTGAAATTGGTCAATATCACTCCTGTTTTCGTCTTATCAAATGAGAATACCCGGTTGTGTGTCATTTTGTACAAAAAAATCTGCCGGACTATCCTACGCATTCAATTTAGAACAGTAGCTATGAAGTTCGATAACAAATTTTCAAGAATTCTCAGAAAATGAATATCATACCCAGTTCATGTGCACCAACTGTCAGTTCCAATATATGGCCTGTAGCAAGAAATTTCGTGTGCACTCGAACAAGCATAAGTTCATAGCTCTACAAATTCTCGTAGCAACATTTATTAAACTATTTTATATGATAAATATAATGTCTTTATCAAATAACTTCTCAAAATATTTTCTTCTTAAATAAACAGACATTCGATATGTAAAATCAAAATGTCGCATCTTCGTTTTCGAGTAAGGAATTTCATTGAAATTATCCTCTTCAAAATAAAAGATGCAGAAAATCAAATTATATTTAACTCATCAATATTTGACAGATTCATACACACAGCAAGAAAAAATATGTAAAAAACAAAGCTCATGAGAAACTAGAGACATCATAATAATAAAAACCAAGTGTGGGAAAAAAGTAATCTCATACATGATTAGTTTAATTTTTTGAAAAACAACGCATATCATAATTTTCACGTGGTAAAAGTTGTTTTTGATTAATTGAATCAATGAGCCAGGTTACTTTTAATGGACGCATACTTGTACATTTTGCCAATTCTAAATATAAACAGATGTTTGAGAAGATCAACAAAATAATTCATATTACCTTTCATTTTCGTTATTGAGCTTTTGTCTTTTAAAATGCCACATAAAATAAGAAATGGACGAGTAATTTTTTCATTAATAACTTTTCCACCATATTCAATACATAATTCCATCAAACGTTCTAAAATTGAATAAATTCATGATTTAAATAGTAAAATCAACATTTGACTATACCTTTAGAATATTGATAAAGATCAAATTGGCCAATAAACATGATTTCATAGCCATCCAATAGAGCATTCTGTAATAAAAATTATCAAATAAAGCACATTAGATTATTTGAAACAAAAAAAGAACACAATACCGTATCATCTTCGTTAAGGATAATTAATCCTTCACCAACACTTTCACTACAACCAATTAAATCTAAACCATTTTTAACGCAAGTACGAGTTTGTGAATCAACAGATGTTTGAGAAAAATTTAGACTAAGATTAGCAGTGGAGTTTCGTGTTGTAGACGTTATTATAGGTGATAAGACAGCATCGTCCGACAACTAAATAAAAGAAAGCAATGCAATTTATGTTTAGGAGAAACTAAGTGTGAAATCATTACATTGGAATTTTGTACTCGTTTCAACGGTGTTTTACTTAAATAGCTAATGTCTAAAATAAAAATAAAAAGATAGATAAATTTAACTGTTTAAAGAGTTGCTTGCCTCTATGTCTAAAATATTTTCCAATATAAGACATAATCCGTGACTGAGAAAATTTAATAAACCTTCCGTATTTAGTCAACAGATAATGATCAATAGTTTTTAAAAACATAGTCTTACTGCACAATTTTTCATCGTCTATGTCTTGAGTTTCTTCTTCATCTGAATCAGGAATAATTACAGCATCATCTTGTGTATCATCATTATAAGTTGTTGCTGTCACATTGTTCATCTGTGCATTACGTTCGTCCATCTGATTACGACTTAGTGGTAAAAATTGTTGCGATGCTGGAAATTAGTATAGGTTTCGATAATGGAGCGACAAGATGAAATAAAGATCCGTTTACCTTCGTCTTTAATAATGAAATCATTGGTTGTGTTATCTTTTATTTGTGAAAAATCTACTAAGTCTTGCGATTGATTGATCCCATAGGATTCAGCAAATGATTCAATGTCTAAAATATTTAGAAGAAGCGGTAAAACTGAATGAAATGACTATTGTGGATATTTCTTACCCTCTGGCATGACGAGTGTATCAGGAACATTAAAATTATTCCGCTGACGAACATTATTGCTGTTTATTGTTGTTTGTTTACAAGTCGATTCAACATTGTTGTTTACTGTCTCTTTATTGCTATCCTCTGATTGCGTACGAACGTCTAAAATCTTGAAAAACCGTAAGCTAACAAAAAGCCTAACGTTCGATAACCTACTCTCATTAAGTTTTTTCAAATTGATTAACTGAAGATGACGGCTGACTTTAAAAGATAAAGGATATTTGGTTGATAAAAATGCCTGAAATGACGCTAAATCACTTGGTATGCTATTCATCTAGAACAAAGATAGTTCATAAGCTAAATAAAGTCGGAACAAAAGTTAAATAACATCATAAACAAGTGATTGACTTCAATGTCTCTACGATCCAAATGAAAAGGCTTTGTTCTGACAAGAATTCGGCACTAAAAATGTCTGTTACTTCTTCTATTTGACTAAAACCTACCAAAGTTTTAAGAATATAAGTTATATAAGAATAAGTTTCCTTATATTTTTACTATCATAAAACTAGAATGGTTCACGTTTCTTGTCTAAGAACTGTCGCGTATGCTTTGTTCCCGCTCTCATCAATAGATAACGCTAGTATTAAACAGTAAGGCAGCACAATCTACGCGAAACGATCAGTTAATTTGTCACTATTCTGGTCAAATTGCTGAACATTTTCTCAGATTAAAAGAAACACTTTTCTATTCTAGTCTTCATCTTTATGTCCATTTATTCGTCTACGCAAATATTTGTGATTGGTTAACAGAGTTTCATCAGGCGCATTGTTTGAAAGATAATCACGACGAAAGAAGAGAGGGAAAAGGAAGCGGACAAAGTTTCTGTAACTAGAAGTTATTTTAATTTATATTTTGATTAATTTATTCTTGTAAATAGTAAATAATAGATTTCAGAAAATGGCATTGAAACTTCAAGAAAAACTAGTATGTAAGTAAGCTCATCTAGGATAAGTTTTTATTTATTTTTTCATCGATCTTTAGAAAGAGTTAAATAAACAAAAAGAACTTTTTTATGAAGATGAGGTGGAAAGTTTTGTGTGTAAGAAGATTGTTCGTACCGAGTTAGTTATTCAGCATAATAGAGAAAATAATCAACACTATGAACTATTACCCAAACAGCACGTAACTCCACAAAAAAAACAACAAACTCATTATGTTACTATTCCTAATTCAACAAAGAAAGAATCATCCACTCCACAATCACAAATTCATGTCAAAGAAATGACGGAGAAATTTGAAAAATTTTTGTGTCTCCATCAGCCGGCAGAAGACAAACAAACAAACACTCCTGAAAACTCGGTATGTTTCTTATTAATTCAGCACAGAAAAGCAGATTTTTATTTTTTTCCCTTGTTTTAGAGGGAGATTAGAAGAAAACGAGCTGACTTGTTCTCGGAATCTGATGTTGAAAATATATTTCGTCTTGATGAACAAACACGTTCATTATCGGTTGGTCAATTAAAACAATATAATGAGCCCGAGGCAATTAAACAAGAATCAAATTTTGGCATACAACAATTAACACCGTCTAGTGATTCGCGTTCATCGTTATCTTCGAGCAACATAAATGTTAAGAAAATGGCTCAAAAATTCGAAAATATTCTTACATTTCAACAACCTGTCGATGACGATGATTCACCAAGCACAAGAAAAACACCAGAGATAGAGACAAATCTGAGTAACAGAAATATTCAACAAGTATGTTGTTTTCTTCCAATGCAAGTGTGTAGACATAATCTTTACGGTTTAGAGAGACACAAAATACATAAAAAAATTTCTCCTTGCCTCTACTTCAAACTCTTTTGAAGTGTGGTATCTTGAAACAACGCTTCCCTCTCTTTTTAGCATAAATTGTCACCATCAGTTATTGAACTTGACAGCAATGTTTTTTTATCGCCGACAACACTTCCATCCAGTTTGCCATTAGCAGAATATTTACCTTTACATAGATGTGAAAATTCGTCTCACATTATATCACAACAAAGTTTTAATCAAAAAATGGATATCGATAATCAAACATCGACACCGAAACGTGACAAACAAGAAGACGAACTACAATGTCAATCAACACTAGAAAATGAAGCACAGACGAAGGATTTAGAACATACCTTAGAGGTATGTGGGGATAGAAGAGGTCTAGTTCAGAAGAATAACGAAGAACAAATAAACTCAACTCGTAAGCGACAGTTCAGTCTAACTCTGAGGTAGATCTTCTAACAATATTTTTGTATCTTATTAAAGCTATAATGGATATGGATATTAGCGAACAAGTCACATTATTAGCTCCAAATCGTCATCAACATAGCACTGAAATACAGCCATATAATAATATTGGTAAGCGTTGATTATGGTCCTTTTTGTAAAGACAATTTTACTGTCAATAGAATTATATAGGGAAGTTATGAGAAGAAAGATGATTCGGAAATCCTTTGAAATTTTACATGTATGATTTAGTGGTTTGATATATATGTCTAAATTTACTACAGTTAGTAGTTTTTCTCCTACTCGTGAAATTTTTTTGGTTTTTATATCATGTACTCGTTTGTTCTTTTTTTAGCTAATCAAAATTTTGCAGTAACAAATGGTGTCTACATCAATATGATGACACATTATAAAAATGAAAATGATACTGCAGCATTCAAAGTGACAAATTTAGATGATGATATGTTTGCTGATTTCGATTACGAACTTGTACGTCGAGAAGAAAATCAAAAACGAATTTTAATGCTTTTTCCTACTTTTCCAGAAACATCAAAAACTTCATCGTCAAATATCGACACGGTCTATATCTGATCCAACATTGAATAAAATAAGCTATTCTCCAGTAAAACCACCAAGACTTTATCATAGAAACGATGACAGTACAGACGAATTAGTACATAGATTTTGTTGTTGTAGAGAGAAAGTGACTAATATGATTTTATTTTTTAGAATGAATCACAATTAGTTTATAGCTTAACGGATTATCGTTTAAATAATGCTGAAAAGAAAAAAATACAACGAAAACATAATGGTATAGCAACCCATCTACCTGCTCAACAACTACGTCCAATGAGTACACAAAATTCCACTGCATCTTTGACAGCAACAACCATTATGGAAGATAATGAAAAACGTTTGGCAAAAAAATGGCTTGTTATTGATGAACTACAAGTATGACGTAAAATGTCACTGAGTATCTTATATTAATTTATTTTCGTTTCTCATAGCGTTTAGCTGAATTATCAAAACGTGAAACATCTATACTACAGCAAACGTCATTGGCGTTACAATGTTGTACAAATGATCCTCATACAGCATTATCTGATAAAAAAATTGAATGTGAACGGGTTATTTTTATTGCGCGTTAGTAGTTTCTTGTCCATACTACTTTTTTCTATTAATCCTAGTGTATTTTTCTTTGAACAGGTCAGAAATTGACTGCATATAACAGTGAAATAAAAAGATTGGAAAATTGTGATCCAGATATGGAATATTACTCGCCAGAATTATCACGCAGTACCCTAGTTATCCAGGATATCAGATTAATGATTAAAGAGGATTATATTCGTTCACTTCGAAAAGGAACAGGTAGATGTTATTTTAACGTTGTTTAAACCAAATTTCACCGAACTATAACTTTATTTTAGAAACAAAATTCTATTATATTATGTACTTGATGAAATATCGTTCACAAATATTATTTTCACACATGTTTTCATCATTGGATACATTACAATTGAATGGTCAAATAATATTTTCTAATCGAATGATGATTAGAGAAGTAGATAGTAATTTTGTAGCAACAATCGGAGTTTATTGTATGGTACGAAAGAAAAGAATTAATAGGCAAAAAATCATTTGTATTTGCTGTTTGTTTATTTTTAGGAAATTACGATGAAACATCCAATTATGGGATTGGATCATTCGGCTATCACTGCGGCTGCAAATGGAGCCACTATTAATCACACGTGTTTTCCCTTGAATGACTGTAGACATTGTGATAGACAAAGTTTAAATACAACAGGTAGATTCTCATCGATCATACGTATGTAATTTAGATTTCATGATCTCAATGATTATTTCAGTAGCAATACCTGGTCAACATACAAAAAATAATACAATGATCCGTGTCAGCAGTTTTTTTCAAGTTGATGCAATAACAATACGTAAAGAACATTTGAAATGTAATGAGTTCCATTTATCGGTAAGACTGAATTTGTCTATTTGTATAATTATGTGTGTTTTTCATTATTAATTTTCATTATTTATAGATTTCAGCAGCATCTATACCATTGAAAAATAAATTGTATGTTAAAATACAACGTTTATCCGAATTTAATGTGCGAAAATGTGGGTATTTGGTAAGCAAGACAGCACATTTTTTCAATATATCAACTTTCGGAACTTTTTAATCTAGACAATTTATAGTGATGTTAGTGGTTCTGGTATATGGCTTCGACGTTGGTTTGTTTTGACAAATGAACATAAACTAAAATATTGGTCATCACCAGAAGATGAAGATCATGTACGTGTTGGTTAAGTTATTATTTGTTCTTATTTAAACATCGTTGACGTATTTTATCAGGTGGCCGCAGAAGAAATCGATTTATTCTATTGTATTGATCACTCCGTAAATATTCTTCAACGTGAAACATGTGCACGTCCGCATACATTTGAATTACGTATTGCTTTACCAACAAAAAAGTCAAGTAATAATAGCTTGATCACAACAAATAATCCACCTTCTAACTCGATTATATCACAACCGTTTGGAAAACGTACACTTTACAGGTATGTGATTTATCTGAGATTGACTGCATTTCATTGTGTCTATCAATTTTTGAGACCATATTATGACGTATTTATCTTTCTTCAGATATTGGTTAAGTGCCGATTCAAAAGAAGATCGAAATGATTGGTGTCGAGCTATTAATGACTTATTAGAAGATTTGAAAGAATGGGAATCAGATACACAAGAAAAATGATGGTGACAAATATTTATTTTTTTTGTAGTCATAAACAACAGCAGTATAACGGCTAAGCTTATTTTTAATGTGTTTTGTTTCTTATCTTCCCCTTCACTTACCCGATCTTACGGGCGCTCAAAATGTGTTTGAACCTTTTGATAAACACTATCTATGCCGTCTAGTCAGATTTATTTCCAAATGTACTTTTTTTGAACGCTTAATTTTTGTTATTGTCATTTTGTGTCATATACGATTGTTTTTTTACAGAAGAAAAAGGAAAAAAATACTATTTTTAACGATTATATACATAAAAAAGAGACATATCATAATAGATGTTTATAAATTAAATAATACGCACTGAACAAAAAAAAAGAAGGCGTTAAGTATTTCCATAGACTCTATTTGCACCGTTGTTTTCCATAGTTTTTACCAAGCCCCTTTTGAGAGAAGATTGGGCTCAGAAAGACTGATGTTTTCTGTTATTGCACTCTCACTACTTTGTAATGGCAGAAATATATCTGTTTTTGAAACGAGTTAATAAATGACCTTTCTGAGTATCTTTTTATCTGCACTGTTACCAGACCAATGTAGGAAGAGGAGAAAGCTCTAATGCATTCTACCAACGGATGAGAAAAGCTCACTTCACCTAAATTAGAGAAGTACATTTAAAAAAGAGAGTTTGAACTAGTCTAAACTCGAATCTTAATTTTGTCTAGATTTTTGCCTAGTTCATACTGGAATACAAGTTTGAAAGTGAATGTTAGACTGAACAATTTTAAGAATTTTAAGTCATGGATACCAGATCCAAAGCAAGAAAATCAGAAAAAAGAAGTTCAAAATCAAAAAATCACTAGACTTTTGAACAAAAAAGAGCAGAAAGGAGGCAGAAAAGTTGCAAAAATCAGAAGATCTGGGATCCCTGTTCGTAACTTAAAACTGTTTAAATTTTTCAATCTAATTTGAGATTAGTATAGACTAAAGTAGAATCACGCCTTTTGACTATGTCAGTCCTTACAATAATAATTGAGAATCGAAGATGAAATTCAGTACAGTACTTTAATGAAAGAAGGCGTCATAGCAGTTGATAGACTTCAGATCAACTCTCCTAATCTTGATCGAGATAAGTTCATCCTTTGTAGTAGATATTTGACTAACCAACAAAGAACGAAGAAAAATTTCTGTTATATCCAGAGTTTGAGGTTGATTTTTTCATAAGCAGATAGATCCAAGTTTTTACTACAAAGCGAGCGACTTCTGTGACTTTTCTATTATAAGTTATTCAAAATGCAACCGAGTACATTCTGTTTGGAACGGATGTTTCATCCATGTTAGTTTGACACGAACTCTCACAAAGTAACTCGATCGATTATCATGTTTTCATTCCGCTAGCAGCTGAACAAGTTGAGGATGGCATTAAGTTTTCTTTAAACTATATGAGGTCTAAACATTATTTCTGATTCAATGGTTAAACATAAATAATCAAATGATAATACAAGCAACAGAACTAGTTGCACTAGCTTAAAACTATCAACAACGATAGCAAACCATATTTAAACATCGAGTAAATGTATGTGATAAATATTATCTTTTTATTAGTATTCATGTCTATTTTTTTCTCTATTGAACGTTACTCAAACTAACATCGGACACTATTACGAAGTTTGATGCAGAGTAAAGTTGAACAGAATTAAAATGAAAAAAAATAACTTAGCTCTCTATATTTCAACGAACAAAAAAAAACCAAATTTACAAACAATGTCAGTTTCATAAATTAAAAGAAAAAACCAACTGATTTATCATTCTCTTGATGCTGTAATTGGAAAGAAGATTCGACTGTATTCAACGTGAAAGAAAAAGAACTTAACATTGGAAAATGAGATGGGCGTATGTATATAAATTTCTTTATCCATATGGTTTCTTATTCAAAAATTAGTATTAAGTCAAGCTATAACTCTTCATTTGAATATACATATACATGATACTTTTTATAATTTAACGTTGCAAAATGACAAAAAGATCACAACATCAAATAGAGATAAAATATTGAGATTAGCTGAACGTAAGGTATGATTTAGCACTGGTGTGGAAAATCTTATAAAAATGTTAGATATTCCTGTCTGACTTGTATCCCGATTACCTTTTGCTTCTAGTGGTAGTACTGATACTATTGTTTAGTAGGATCTGAGCGGGAAAACAATAATTAAAAACTCCTTTTTTAACAAATACAAACTCGATTCACAAGCTAGAGCTTAAGAAAGAAATTAGAGTCAACTAATATTTCTCACACGAATGTAAATAAGACAGTACTCATTTTTCAGTTTATTTTTTTTCTTGATATTTATTTTGAATGTTTATCAACCGTGTTTTTGTTCAATGCAACAAAAATGAAATGAAATACTGAGCACAACCCAATCCCTCTAAATTAATTGCTAAGTATGTGAAGAATATCTCTAGATTTTAGTAGATTACTAATTGTAACACAAAAACAGTTGACATAACGAAGTTGATATGTGACTTTTACCTTCTGTTTATTAGTTCACAATCTTTTCTGAAATACAACAAAAAAGGCTAATTATGATACAGAAGTTATACGACACACAATGTGTTATTTTTTTATTCTTCAATAAAATAAATAATTGTTTTACTATCGTTGTCGTGGATTATGTTGTAGAGATTGTTGTTTGTTGATCTCCAGGTACCGTTCGAATAATATCCGAATCACCTAAACAAAGAAAAAAATGTGCAAAATAATCCTTTAAGAAAATGTATCTTTCCATTATTAAAGTTTGGTCAGAAAGAATAATTTGTTTTCCTTACCTGGATCAGTGATTGCTAATAAGCCCACACGAAAATATTTGCCGCAAGCGGTTCCTAATTCGATGTTATTCCCAGAGTAATGATGTACACCAGTTTTTGCTAACATTGCATAATATTCGATTTCACTTTTTCTAAATAAAAATAACAACAGTGCTGGAAAGTACTGTTTATCTGATATGTATTTAAAATCTTTCATACCTTATTTGAGGCGTATTAGCTGATACCAGTATTAATTTAGCTTGACCATTTCTTAATGCTTTTAAAGTTTGTCGATAGCCGAGTACATATTTGCCAGATTTCATAACCAGCTGAAGACGTTGATTAATTGTTTCAGCTTGTTTTTTCTTCATAAGAAAAGAATATAAAAATTAAGACATTATTTTTCAACAAATATAATCTGTGATACTTACACCGGCGACATTTTTCGGTGCTGGCATCCTGAATGTAGACAGATACTTAGAGTATAGATCTAGAAATAGAGTAAAAAGTACACTGGTATGATAAAAGTATTTACAAATGAGTAATTAAGCTCTTCTGAAGATTATACAACAAGCTCAAATACTGGTATCATATTAAAATCAAAAGTTCTTTTTATTGTTGTAGCCGTTCTGTATGGCTTATTAGAAGAGCTACATCAGACTATTTACCAGATTTTGCATAGAGAGGATTGATAAAAATCCACCAGCAGGGAAGAACATGCAAATAGATAACAACTGTTTGAAGAAGAAAAAGCTTTTCTGTGTAGATATCCAGTTTTTAATGTGTAACTCTGCCGTACGCCATTCATAAAAATTAATTTTTTTGTAGAAAAGTCATTTTAAGCGGGCAAATTATTGAACTGAGCCTGTAATCCAGCCATTCTATTAACCTTCGACGTCTCTCGTCGATTAAAGTACGTCGTAGTTATGCACTCGGAAGTTAAAGTACGCGATTTAAAAACAAAAACAAATCTAAAAGTGATGATCGCAATTGAAGGACGCTAATTTTCTGTTTATTCTAAAATCCATCATTACTCTTATTTTTACTCTCATTTCGGAATATTCCTTTTCTGGAAAGTTGTTCAGCAGAAACAAAAGAATTTTCCGAATTTTGAAAAAGTTTCTGACCCTGATTTTTGTGTTTCGATATACTATAGTCGCATGGAGTAAATGCTTGCTAATAAACTTATGCTTCTTTCTTTTATACTAACAGCATAAATTGGGTTTGACAAAACTAATGTAATACTAAGTATATAATATAATATAAAAGTATAGTAGGAGGTGGTAAGGATGTCATTCTTCTGGAATACTCCAAGGGACTCTAACTTCGTTCCAAACGATCTAACATCATGTATTAATATGCGTGCATTTAAAAATCGATTGGCGATGTTTCTTAAAATTTAACTGTATTGTTGTATGCTATTCCTATTCTCTCGTTAATTATTGTATTCACATTTGTGTCTTATTTATTTGATATTATTGTTAATAGCTTGTATTCTTTCTTCATCTGTTTGTTTATCCTTTTTTCTAAGTAATGGGTATATCGCAAGGCACTTGTCACCTTGAACTAGCTTTGTTAAAAACATTTCACTATTGTATATGTTCATGATCTTTGATCAAATAGAAATGGAATTGAATTGAAATTGAATTGAATCGAAGGATAATGAGCGCGTTATTGGTTGATAAATGGCCAAATAGAGAGAGGTTAGTATTAATCGTCCTAACGTTCAGAAAAGTTAACTGGGATCAAAACTATGAAGTTTATAGAGCTAAACCGAATTCTGCAAATAATGCGGACTTACTTTCAAGATGAATTTCCGAAAAAAGCTTTTCTCTGCGAGAGATGCCGCCCTGATAGAAGATACTTCAGCCGCTGGATACTCCTAAGGATTGGGCGGGAAATAGCTTTTATTCCTACATTATTCTTCAAAAAAAAGTAAAGAATGAACGAATATGGTTCAATTAACTCAGTTAGATGTCAACGTTTTTGTCTCATTAAGACAAGAAACTTTTTGATGCTGAAGTAACACGGAATGTGAAAAAGCAAGGGATGCACGATGTTTTTTTGTTTTTATAATTTTGGTTCCTTCATCTGAGTGGCTTCTAGTGTTTCTAATGAGAATTTCTCGCTGAATGTACACCCACACTTTGTTTTTCAAATTAAAGTATATGTGTACACTTTGTTGGTATTCCTTTAGCAGGTGTTTCACATACCTGAAAAATGTTCCGCCTCGTCAGAGTGTTTCACGTCTTGAGAAAAGTGTTTCTCATATCAAAAATTCAAGAAAAGACGATGGTAGATAGCACTGTTAAGATTTATTCAACAATGCGGTATACAAATAGACGTTTGATGATGAAATGAATCGTTCAAATTCGGAGTTGAATGTGGAAAATATCCAACAAATGAGAAAAAAGATAATTTCGTAGGATAACGTCTAATGTCATTGAGGATTGCTGGAAATATGGTTTTATACAGAACGGTACCAGAGTTCGACCAGATGAGAATCTAGTAAGTAAAGTACTGTTTTTGGTGATTATACCCATATCTTGTTTGTAAACGAGAGTAAGCCTTCTATCTTACCAAATTGTCGTACCAGAATAAACATGTTTTCAAATAATTGGATGAAGTGTCTCTGCATCAGGTTGTTGTACAGAAGAAAAACTTGCACTTCGTATCCATCTGCCGTCGGTTGTGCTATACCGAATATCCAGGGTCCTAAAGTGAACGAAACAAGATCTTCCTAAAGTGTCCTCAAGGTTGAAACATTCCTTAACATCAACTCTTTTCTATGTCCTGGTACAACAATTTG